CCTGCAAGGGGGCAGATGGGCAGGGGGTCCAGCCCAAGGAGGAAATGGTTGAGCTGGTGATGCTGGACCAGCTGTATGAATGCTGCCCCCATGACCCGAGAATGAGTCTGGGGGACAAGAAGCCGAAAGCCCTGCCCAGCACAGGGCAGCTGGCTGACAAGTTTACAGACAGCTGGGCCAGGTGTGGAGGGGAATCCCAGAGGGACCGGCTCACAACGGGCAGGGGGTCCAGCCCAAGGAGGAAATGGTTGAGCTGGTGATGCTGGACCAGCTGTATGAATGCTGCCCCCATGACCCGAGAATGAGTCTGGGGGACAAGAAGCCGAAAGCCCTGCCCAGCACAGGGCAGCTGGCTGACAAGTTTACAGACAGCTGGGCCAGGTGTGGAGGGGAATCCCAGAGGGACCGGCTCACAACAGCGCAGAAAGGGGACTCCAGGAGAGGACAGCCAATGCCAGGGCAGACCAACCAGGCCAAGGGACCCAACAGGACCTGACTGGTCATTCCTGCCAGTGGAGGGGCCACAAGTGGGCCCAGTGCCCCAAGACCCAGGACAGGTGGAGCAAACCGAGACCTCACAAGGTTAACTGGGTGGGGCCCAGCTGGAGGAGGGACAGGCTGAGCGGGTGCCTCATTCCCTTGCCGGTGGCTGGGAGGAAGGCCACGGCGCTGAGGTGACGCCGGCCCGTCCTGAAGTGGTGGCACTAGACCGGAAAGTGCCCAACACCCACCTGACCCTGATGGGCATAGACAGGACCCTATTCAAGGAGCCTGTGATGAGTACATCTGAAATGAGGGGGCCCTCCCGGGACATGGTGGAACAGGGATACTGAGGGGGGTGACCTGGAGGATTGGTCAGCTGGACCCCGAAGCCAGAGCCAGCAAGGGGCACTCTGCCGTGGCCTGGGGAGGGCTGCGTGCAGGGCCCTAGCTTGGCAGACAGCTTGTTCCCAAGGGCCAGCTTGGCTGGGCTATCCCTCCAGATCCAGGCAGTCCCCACCCCTTCCCCGGCTGCTGACTTCCAGGCCACGTTGCAGAACGTTCCCTCCTTGCAGAAGCTGAGGGACGTGGCTGGCCCCAGAGCAACCCCACCCCGGGGGGGAGGCTGCCAGGAGAGGTTCCTGTGGGAGAAGAGATTCCTGTACCGGGACTGGGTCCCCCCAGGGACAGTGGAGTTGCGGGGGTGGGGTGGGGGGCTGGAGGCAGCTGGTGGTTCCTCAAAAGTACCACTGCAGGTCTTTGATGCCGTCCAACACCACGGCAGGGCCTGGCCCCCGGCCAGAAGGTGGGGAAGGCTCAGGACAAGGGGAAAGCCACCTTGAAACCACTGCCCACCATAAAGGAGCCTTCCCGGAAGGTGCCTATGGATATAGTGGGGCCCAATCTGGGAAGCAATACATCCCGGGGGTGGTAGATTTTGCTACTTTCTACCCCTGGGGGCTCTGTCCTCTATTGAGGCAGACCAAGTGCAAGGTGGGGATGACAGAGGTGTCTTGCCTAGGTCATACTGTGGGGAGTGGTGTTTAAAGCTGACCAAAGTGGAGCCCATGGGAGATTGGCCAGTCCCCCAGAGGAAGCAGCGGGCGCAGGCCTTCATTGGGATGGCAGGGAACTACCGGAGGGTTGTGCCTCTCTTCAGCTCCATCACTGAGCTGTCAGAGGGGTGAGCCAGGCATGACGGTCTGGACCGAGCAGTGCTCCGTGGTCGGGCCCCTGTGCCGGTAAACCCAGCCTGCGACAAGCCCTTTAGGGACTTCCCGGATAAACACGGCTGGGCGCGGTGCTAGTGCAGGGACAAGGGGAGCGACACCCCATTGTGCACTGGAGCAAGACGCTGCTCCCTCAGGAAGAGCGCCGCCGCCTGAGGGGAGGATTCCCGGCTCTGGTGCGGGCCCGTAGGAAGCTGGGGGACACTGACCCCTCTCCCCTGAGCTGGCTGCCCCAAACGGAAGGGCCAATGCCCAGCTCTGGAGGTGGAGCCTGCTCCTAAAGGTATACCACACGGGGTAGGTCCATGTTAAGGGGAGCGCTGCTGAGACAGCCCACACCTCATCACGGAGCAGAGTCCAGAGGCCACCGGCTAAACGGGAGAGAGGTGACAAACTAGGGGCGTTTATTCACCTTGTTGTGTTGCATGTGAGTTCTACCAGCCCAGAGTAACCCTCCCTCCCACCC